GATGTGTATAAGAGACAGTATATATATATATATATATATATATATATGAATATGTATTAATTGGTACTCATTTTAAGGATTTCGTATTAAAAACATATCGTGACCGTAGGCTATTTGGTTTCATTGTGCAGTTAAAAACTGTTTTGATCGTTTTAACCTAAATGAGATATTAGGAGTGCTTTCGTTGAATTTTTAGGGGTTTTATAGATTTCACTACAGGACAGCGGTTGCATCTTTAAAATGGATGAGTACCGAAGGAATGTGCTGTGCAGACGAAAGGCAACTCATGGCAACAAAGGAGATATGTCGAGGGTGGGTCTCAAATATTCGCATGAGAACAGACATTCTTTTGAAATATAATTTGTTGAGTAAGTAGGCGTAGATTGCAAATATCCAGAGATTATGTGGGGTTTTGGTTGATTGCCCGTTATCAAATAATTATCATATTAGGCCTAATACTCATTCATTTGGTCATCTTACTGACCTAATCACGCTTTTGAAAAACAGCACAAGGTGTGTATGAGTGGGCGGTACAGTATTTTATTTTCAAATTCTAATTCTCAAAGCATGTAACTTATTCAATCAATTATAATGTATATTATCGCCTCTTCAACTGAAGGAACATTGAAAATACAATTAGTAAGCCTAGTGGAAAAATTTGCAGATAAAGTACGAAGTCAGGTTTATATAACATTAACCCAAGACTTAAGTGGCGTTCCATAACATACAAAGTGGGATTGTTTATTAAAAGTTGTACTTTCGCGTTCGTGTTTGCTTTATAGACCGGTGCAGGTCTATTGATTGGTAGTCACAACGTACATACATCACTCGGTAAAATTATTTTGGAGGACGTATAGTTTTAGGCTGTCTAGTAATATATTTAAGGGTTGTCGTGTAGTCCTAGACCCGACACTTTTAGTTTACTTAGGTCTAGGCCAGGGTAAGTTCCAGTCCTTGTCTTCGAGACTAGGCCTAGCCTAGAGGTCATTGCCTATCTATGCGTCGGGCCTGAGGCCTACTGTCGCACTCACTAGGCGGGCCTAGTCTTTCATGCTTGTCCAAGTTTTTATCGTAGACCTACAGCATGTTTCACTTGTATTAGATCTTTTTACAGTCTAAGCTTGCAATTTTAGCATTATTGTACCAACTCCCCCCCCCCCCAAGTACGGCCTAAATATAACTGAAATAATCTTCATTCACTTGGCATTAAATGGCGAAAAACGCGCTTTTGTGAAACACATTTTATATGGAACGCCACCTGGGCCTTTTTGCTTTCGATACAAACGTCGAGATAGTTAAAAAAAAAAAAAAAAAAAAAAAAAACAACCCATGTTTAAAACTATATTGAAAGTTAATAATAATTAAGAATGATTACTGATGTTTATTTCTAAATTCAATAATAAAAAATAATCTTGTTCAGTCTAATTACTTTTATGAACACTTACTTTTTGTTGTGTGTTTGTTGTGTTTGTGGTCTTGTTGCTGTTGTTTATTCTCCCTTTCCTTGCTTTGCAGTTTTGTTGATGAATTACGGAATTATCCATCAATGTTTCTTGTTTTTTCCATAAGGAAAGTTGCAGTAAGGTTATAAGTGCACCAAAGATTACTAGTGAATCAAATTTCACATAACATCATACAATAGCAGTGTCTCATGATATTGACAGTTACATGATATTTATACATATACAGACAAATAACTATATAAATTGTGGTGTGACTAATTTCAGGCTGGTGAGGATGAGGCTTCAGCAAGCTCAACAACCGATAGAACTGTAGTATATACAGAGTCTGTGACACATGTAGATGATAGAGAAGATACTGCCAGTGAATACAGCCAAACAAGCTCTATATATCAATCAGGCCTGTCAAGGTAGTTATCAATCAACTAATCAATCAGGCAGTCTACCAAATCAATTAATCTTATCATCAAACTAAAATTAAAATAATTGCAGTGTGTATCACTAATTTAATACAATCATTAATACCCATATAAAGAGACCTACAGTATAAGCCAATGCTGAAACTAACATTGAGTAGAGTTTTCCAACATATTGGTGGGCGAAAATCACAGAAACTGCACATAACAATGATAATGGTTATGTTGAATAGGTGAATGAAAAAAGAAACTGTTTAATAACACTTTGGCTATCATTTTGATAGATCCGAAAATCTGGTGGTCCGAGGTGAGAAAGTGCTTGGACAAATTGAATCGGTTACTAGGGATTTGGACAACATTGAAGCACAGATTAAGGACGTCGATGGTAAAGCATCTAAACTGAAAGCTGCTGAAGTCAACAGACTTATAATCATCATAGAGACGAACCTTAAGGTACTGTAATTTCTTCATTATGAATGCTTTTTTTTCAATGATGTTCGGTCACACAATTTTTTTTCCTTAATAATACACTAACAGTAGATCATTTATATGCATCTGTACAGTATCTGTAATTTCTATTATGCAATTATTGTAAACTTTTGAAAGCACTATGGGAAATTAGTGAAAAGCAAAGGAGCAAATATTGCCAGAAAAAAAATTCGATTTTTTTTTTTTTTTTTTTTTTTTGGCTTATATTAATGACTTAACGTATATTGTTATTAAATATATATAAATTTTTCTTTTGAACAATTTGGGGTGTTTTTGCAGACTTGTGACAAGAATATACATACACTGTACAAGAATGTCCACCAGTTGCATGAGGACGGGTACCAGAGTTGGGAGAGGCTTCAGCAAAGGTATACTTACTTGAAATTGATTACAACTTATAATTTATATGTATATACTTTCTTATTTTAGAAATGTAAATTAGTATTATGGCAGATATTTATATACAAATCAAGATACCAGTGGTGGATCCAGGAATTTGAAATAGAGGAAAGGTGTGGGGGGTGGGTGGGTAAGGAAAGGACTTTCACAAATAGAGGGTCCACCCACTTCATCCCCACAATTTTTTTCCATTTAAAAAAAAATAATTTTTTAAAGATTTGGGAGGAGGCCCGGTTCACCGCCCACCAACCCCTTTGAATGCACTGCTGGTGACTACTGTTGATATCTAATGAATAAACCAAAACTGAAAGAACTTATTTATATCCCAATGAAAGAATAATCAAAGAAATTTCAGCAGCCTAGCAATAAAATTCTAATATTGCATTCCACAGGATCGAGGAGCTACAGAGAAGAAGCACAATTCTTAGCACCTTTGAAATCAAGAGCTCAACTGCAAAAGACTCCACACTTATCAAGACTCAAGGAGAAGGGATGAGCATCTCAAAAAAGAAGGAGGAACGCAAAGAAGAGCGTGTCATCATTAGAGATGAGATTTACATCTTCCTATCAGACTGCCTCACTTGGGTTCAACAATTGAAGGCATGTACACTTTATAGATTTAAACAAAGACTTTTATTGCATTATCATTGACACAAATTATCCATGACCATTTTGTAAAAATATATTTTTCATTCTTTAAAGTAAAATTAAATTGAGTCATTGCAGAAATCCTTCATAATTTTAGTCAAAAATATGGGCTCATAACCATGGGAGGGCTAATTGTATTATTATTTCTGACAATGTTTTTTTTTTTGTTGTAGTCCACAATGAGCAAGATGTCATTTGGCAGTGATGTCTCCAGTATTAAAGATCTCCACCACAAGGTGTCCATGGAGCTGGAGAACATCCGCCAGTACAGAGCTAACCTAGATCAGTGCCAGAGGGACCGCAACAAATACTCGGGTGAAGAACTCCGAAAGTATAACAAGCTACTTCACCAGTTTGAAACAGAGTACCAGAAGCTTTTGGATGCCACTCTGCAACGATTGCATCTCTTGGAAGTACTCCTTGAATTCTCACAGGATGCAACTCGAGAATTATCTTGGCTGGATACTCTAGGGGATGTGGAAGCACAGTGGGAGAACACACATCCTACCATCAAAGAGATGGAAGATCACATCTTGGTGAGATATTTTTTGTTTTATGCAGACATGCACAGGTTGTTTTTTTTTATTTTGTATAAATAACACAAACCAAATGTGTTACTGTACCTGAAGTTCTTTGATAACTACTGCTGTACCAACACGTTACTTTTACATGCATAATAAATGGGCAGTTGTAGATATTTTATAGATGCTACAGTAATGGTAATATAACAATTAAATAGTATTTAATCAGTAATTCAAGCTAAGAAGATTAGTTAATGTTAAAAATTATTTATTCAGAACCTGTCAGGTGATATAGAGAGACACAGAGATGAGTTTCAACAGGTGATTCTAAGAGGAGAGACAATGATAAACCAGGACCATCCAGGTTCTGAGTGTATCAAGGTATCCATTGTTAAATTTTCATAAGTTATGTTAATTAGTCTCTGGCGATACTTTACAAAGAACTTTCTAAGATACAGTTTGTAAATCTAATCTATTCTGTTGAATACTTACCTGAATGAACTGAAATGTCAAAATTCCTTTCAGCAGAAATGATTTAAAAATAATGGAATTGTCTGCCTCTGGTGATGCATAAGAACATGTTAAAGATACTTGCTATGTTAAGTTAGCTAAACATCTTAAAACTTTGACCCTAGTGTGAAAGTTTTACCTTCCCCAAAAGATCAACTATGAAGTAGCAAATTTGTATTTTAAATTACCATGTATTTTTTTTAACTAATTATCCAAGTTTAATCAGATGTGTCTGTATTTGTAAATGATTAATTATAGTTTTTAGTATGTTCTGAATATTAAATATATTCCATCTAGAAATACCTAAATGCAATGAAAAGTCAGTGGGCATGGCTGATAGACTTCAAAGCATCTGTTGAAAAACACCTGAGTACTACCCGCGGTAACCAGGATGTGAGTAACATTTTTTTTTCTATACATATCTGTCATATTTTCAGTTCATGATAGATTGACAGTGAAATGTGTGGTGAGATTGTTTTGTGATGAGAGAGTGTAGTGAAGATTTATAAGGTAGTGAGATTAACCCTGGTATTCTCAAAAAGAACTTTAGACGTAGTCCGAGCTAAAACTTTAAAGCTACGTCATTTCATATTTGACTAGCACTACGACTAAATCACGCGAACTTCAACTAAAATGATATCTCTGCAGGCTGATTTTTTTAGTCAGCCTAGGGTCAGGCTAAATCGGCAACTTGAAATATTTACCCCACTAAAAACATGCTTTTTGTAACTCACAATAAAGTAAAACAATAAAAATTATTGTATACATAGGTCTGATAATTTTGGTGTGTTAAACAAAAGAGACATCAAGTTGAGCTTCCTAAAGGCGAAATTAACATGTTTTGCTAGCCACATGCAATAGTTCATGATTTCCACGAAATCCCCTCACTTTGCGGTCATGTAGCTTCAACATAACAACAACAAAAATGGCGCCACCCCCGCTCGGGCTCAACTATAATAGTTCTCCAAAGAAAGCAAATTTCCAGTCACTGTTCAAATTCTCTATCGTTATATGTTAACGGCTAATATAGTTTGTAGTGTTATAGAAACTTAATTAATAAGCGAATGATTATCTATTATGAATTATGAGGAAATATGTTTTTGAGCATCAGAGGACAGCTTAATATTCATCTGCGTTACCGGATCTCTAAAATTTCATCTGCTATCAAAATGAGCTTCTTTCATTGGTTAGTTTGATACTCGTTGCTTGCCAGTCGTCTTTAGCTGAACTAAAACTAGGACTTGATTTAGTCATAGTTAGAACTTTGACTATGTTGTTGATGAATACAAATTTAAGTTTGAGTTGCAACAAGGACTAAATGAAGTTCAAAGTTCGACTAAAGTTCATTTTAAGAATACAGGCGTCAGTGGTGATGAGATCTTTATCTTTATGAATTACTGTGGAATGTTATCACTGATGGATCTTTTTTCTTTTATACCATGTTCATCAGGGGTTCGGAACTCTCACTGTGCAAGTCGCTTGTGTCCTTGGGCAAGGCACTTTATCTATGTTTGTCTCTCTCTACCCAGGAGTATAAATGGGTACCCAGTGGTTTACTACTGGGGAGGAAAAAAGGCGGCATGGAAAGGAACTGGCCACCCTACCACACAATACCGAGGCTTAGTACAATGGGCTCACATCTCATTCCCCTATGTTCAGTAATGAACACGGAACTACCTTTACTTTACCATGTTCATTATGTGATGTACATACCATTTGTATGTTCATTGGTTAATTGTCTTTGATCATATATTAATCAAACAACTCAAAATATGCCATATACCATACCACATACTTTCTATTTATGATTTTTTTTTGTATAATACATAAAATGTTAATTGCTATTGAAATTTGTTTGTGTCTTTTATAGGTTATGGAAAAAACCTATCAAGATGAGATTACTATATCTATTGAACTGTTGACCTGGATGTCAAACGCAGAGCACAAGTTAGGCTCTATGCAGCCGCAGAGTGAACAGTCAAAACTTCTCATATCACAGCTACAGGAGGTTAAGGTTTGTCAACATTCCTCAGTCACAGTAAACAGGTTTGTTTGAGCTTTTTACACACAAATCGCAAAAAGATCAAACAAACTCCAGACGCTATAGGAAAGGTAGTGCCCACTTGAGGATAGAAAAAACATGTTGAAGGTACAATGTTGATTAACATTATTAAAATTATTTGATAAAAAATGTGGAATTTTTCTATTTAATTTTCTTTCTAGGGTGTACATGCTGATGTCCAGAGCCACCAGAGAGCAATCAGAGATTGCGCAGACAGTCTCCAGCTCTTTGTCAACATGAACAGTGCTTTCCTTACTCCTGAGCAGATCAGCACACTCAACGATTATGTGTCTCGTCTCATCGATGGCTTCGATCGTCTGCTAAATCAGACTAAAGTGCGCTTGAAGCACCTAACGGGTGCGTTAGATTCACTGAAAGCGTTTGAGCATGAATTGTCTGCATTTGAGGTTTGGTTTGAAAAGGCTGTGTCGGATATTGGTGCATTGGATCAGAGCATAAACCACGAGAAGGATGTTGAGAAGCTGACTGTCAGTTTGGACGGGATATCAAAGGATGTTGGGGCACAAAAGGCAAGATTGAGTGCTATCAGTGAAGTTGGCAACAGCTACATTGCAAGCTCCAAGGTATAAATGTAGTATTTTATGTGTTGTGTTGTATTGTATTGTAAGAATGCGCCACATGAAGAGAAGATTGTACAGGATTGCCAATATGTGTTCAATTACATATAGTAATAAAATACTATATGCTTCACTATTTATCTTAAGTCTTAACTGATTTCCTACTTTTTACAATAAATTGTGCGTAATAAGCCAATTCTTAGCTTGAACCACACATGCCCATATCAAACTCAATTGACATAAACAGACATACACACAACATAGGTTTATATCGATTGATCTTGGACTGGATACGGGCATGCAGAGTTCAAACCAGGAATTGGCATATTTCTCTATGTACAGTTTTAATGTTGACACTAAACAATAATTTAATTTTGTAAGTGAATCACATTTCTTATGTAATGATGGGGTTTTCTTCAGGAATACAAGCACATTCTGCGAGATTTTCGTGACTTAGCCCTTTCTCGCCAGTTTAATCGCTCGTACGTTGAACCATCTGATCCAACATACATACGAGACCGTCTAAATCGGATAGTTGCAGATTTCAACCAGCTTCAGACAGCTTGCGCTGAAACGCAGGAACATCTAAAAAAAATTGTGGAAAAACATAAATCATTCAGAAGCTCACTGAACATTCTTAACTCATGGCTCCAGCAAGCGGAGAATGAGATGGCTCGATTAAACCGAGAGCCTACAACAACAGACAGGAACACCGTACAACAACAAATAGAAAACTGCAAGGTATGACAAATTGTAGTTTAAAAAAGGAAGTATTGGTTTATAACTGTTTTTTGTATGTCATCACTTTTGATTTGTGTAATTTGTTTCATTAAAAAATTAATAATGAAAAAGCTGATTTGTCCATATAGTGCCAGCTAAGCGCACACAACTTGAGATATTGCCACTTTCAAGTGGAGTTAATGGCTTCAAAAAACAATAATACATCATAGCTTAGGCCTGGAAAGGAATGATGTTCGTTTATTGAAAGAAGGCCAGCCTAGTCGACATAGGCCTAATAATGTGCTTTTTTATTCCACCAACACACAATTTTTACTGGTTGGTCAGTTTTTTTAACTGGTAATATTGACAGATAAAACGGCTTCGGGAGAACACTGGTGATAATGATGATTAACTTTAAAATGAAACTTTTTAAAATGCATCAACAATCATAATGATTTGGAAGAGTTATTGAAAGGACCAACACTAAACCATTAGTAAAAAGAAACAAATTACAAAAACATCAAAGATACTATTGTATATTGAATCCCTAAGCGAAAGATGTGCAAAGAATATACATAACATGTAGTGTAAAAACCTAATGAGGGAATAGGAACCAAGTTGTTCAACTGTTCTATCAATTTATCTTTTAGATTTTTAATACTGATGTAACTAATCATGCCAGAGATATTGATCAACTAAAGGATGATGGGAAATCTCTTGTGCACTCTCATCAGGTCATGAAACTGGAAGTGGACAGAACTCTGGGTAAGACATGTCAGATAGCAAGCAATGACTAAATACATCATGTTAATCATGACGCAACACATTTCCACAGAATTTAAAATTTTGGAGAAAATCAAAAATTCATTTGACAGGTCTGAAACTATTCTTTCAGGTTTGGAATTTTACTGTATTTTGTACATTGACTATCCGTCTCTTATCTGACAAAATTTGACCACATTTAAAAACAAGTTACTGTTTGATAGTGTTATAAAAACAAATAAATCAATTGAAGTGAAATGAAGTTTACAATTTTGTTGTTCACAAAAGAGACTGGTAAATGCAATAGTTTACTCTGAGTGCAGCCAGGTGTAAACTGTGCAGCTACTCATGCATAACTCATGATTGAATCTTGTTTACTTAATTGTGTTTATACTGAAACCACAGAATCATTATGGATTAAATACACTAATTAACCCAATATGTTATATACCATTGCTTAATAAGTTTGGTTTCCATAAAAATCATTACACGCTATTGCCAACTCTTTTTGGCGATGCTGATTGGTCAGTTGAATCAGGGAGCGTTTCCGATTGTGTCGGGGACAGCTTGTGCAGTGCAACGATTGCAGTGAAAATGCTGTAGCAACTGTGTAGCGATTCTATGGAAACCATGCTTTGCATAGAATATGATTATATCATGTTTGATATTTTATGAATTTTTTGTGAGAACCCTTCACATGTGTATGATTTTGTTAAATATTTCTATCATTGCTCACATGTAGAATAGGCTAAGCATACATTTGATAAAGCAATTACTTTAGTTTCCTTATTTTATTTACATTAACCAATTTAAGCAAAAATTAAAAGAAAATTTTTTTTTTTTTAAACAATACCGGTAATAGATGATGTTGTCCAGCGTTACGATGAATTAGACGTAAGCGTTCGTGAACGGATTCAAAGACTGCGAATGGGGCTGGACAAGAATCAACATTTAGATGATCTCATTCGATGGCTGGAAGATAAAGAGAAGCGTGAATTTGAGATGGAGAAAGGAACGATCATCATGGTTAAGAGGAAACCTCTTTCCGAGAGGCTGCAAGAATACAGGGTAAGGAATTTTTAAAAAGTACAAATACAGTTAATCATTAAAAAGATTGTTGATGTTAAGGCTTTATAAGGTACATGTAACACCTAATATGACATGAGTCTTCAAAACAAACCACATAGCAAATCAGGAAAAATGAACAAATGTGGGATGTTTGGGATTTACGTCTCTATATTTTGAGTTTTGCTTTTTTTCTGTTTTCTTTTATTATTTTGATATTTACTTTTTGTGGCTACATATTTCAGACACAATACAGAAGTTTGAACTACACATAGTGTTTTTGATTGATTTAATATATTGATTGATTGAGTGATTAATTGACTAAAAGTAATCATATCACTTACATTTTTATATAATATTGTTTTAGGTATTTGAGAAGGAGATTAGTGACTACCAAGATGTGATAGAGTCAGTTTTAAGTTCCACTTCAGAACTCATCAACTCCGCTAAACCGGAAGAACGTATCATCTACCAATCCAAACTGGACGACTTTCGACGGCGTCACAACAATTTGATCACCAATTTAAGAAAGCATGGAGAGGTACTGCAGATGTTCTCCAGCAAACTGGTTGATCTTGAGTTGGAAGTTGAGAAATTTGAAGGTTGGCTGCTGCCATTACTGCAAGAACTTGAATCAACAGATATTGCTGAACTAGATATAATAGGCATGGATTCTAAATTACAGGTAAGTTTGAATGTTGTATCTTGAGATAATAACTAATTGTCATTCTGATCATTGTATGACAGTAATAAGCTTTTATTTATGTGAATAGCATAGTCATTCTTCAAGGCACTCCTGCAGTCTATTAAGAGAGACAAAAGTAAAGTTATATTATCAATCTTATTACTTTCCTTGCATGATCTTTTATTAGACGCACAATGTTGGTGTTTGTGTTCACCTAAGCACTAACCATCTCTTCTATAAGATCATGGTTTGGTTTTGTTCAATGGAAGTTAATCCTCCTTTTTACTACAGGCAGCTGCTCAAGACATCAATCGTCAACAGCTTCAGTACCAGAAGATCCTGAGTCTTGCACGAGAACTCTTTGATCATCCACGGGCAAATAATACATCGCAACTCTCAGCCATGATGATGAACTTCAAACACAACTGGGCCTCCTTAGAGGCTGCTCTTGCTACCAGGTGAGTTAATGTGCATGTGTAGACTATATTGTTCTTTTTGATATATTTTAATGAGAGCAGTAAACCGCGAGGCTTATAGGCTTAAGTCTTTAGCAATGTTAATGTTTAGTTGCTCCCAAATGGAATCTTTACTCATTAGGTAGTAAACTTTCAAGAGAGTGAATCATCTTAAATAGAATTTACTCTCATCATAAGCATACTACTGTATCTCTTTCTCACCATGCCTGTTATTAGTGACTGGAAGAATTGTGTGTTGTATTGAGCAAACATTAATATTTTTTATATTTGGTCAGTCTTTGTTCTTCAATTTTGTATGATTTTGTCTTAGACGTGGTCAGTTTGATCAACGGAAGCTAACTGAGAAGCGGTATGAGAACATGGCATCGGAAGTGCAGTCTTGGCTGGACAGGATGCAGGAGAAGCTTGATGGCATAACATTGAAGACAAGAGATGAACATAATGTCGACATGCAGCTTCAACAACTAAAGGTACATGTAAACATTGATTTTAATGGGTGCTAAAATAACAGTAATTGTAATCATGGTATTTAAACATAAAAGAATTTCTCCAGGTGCCTTTTTCTTAGTCATTGGATGCAGAATCATTCACATGCAAATTTCTCCACTTTGTGTTGAGTAGGCCTATTCTTAGTCGTCCATCCGACCAAGTGCGTATTTATACTGGATATAGAGGCAACAAAGTATGTTGTAGAAGGACACAAGTTATGTGACTATTGTTATTTTTGTCTGAACTTCTGACCATGTGGTTGGAAGCACCAAAACTAACCGCTGCTCCGAACAATCCAAACAACTATCTGTATATTTGTTTACTTTAACTGTTTTCCAACTCTTATATCTCCATTTATACATAATTGATTATATCTTCTATTCTTTTTGCAGCTTACTCAGAAAGAAATTTCAGACAATGAGAAATTGATCGAAGACATCAACAAATTAGGCTCAACATTGAACAATCTCCTCCGGGAACACCAAGTCAGCATAGCAACACGTGTTCATCAGAAGTCAATCGAAGTTGAAGATGGCCTGCAATCTGATTGGTCACTCACTAGAAGTACAACCTCTCTTGATGGATCAAGGGGTAAGGATGTGGACATCATATACTTGTGTCAGTCGTGATGAATTTGCCATTAGGAAATATCTTCCAACTTCAAAACAGAAACATAGTGAATGAGTTTATGGATTCAGTGCTTAAGTGGTCTTTAATGACCACTTAAGCATAAGTAAATTATTAATACTTACAACCTGATAGACCAACTATAGTCAACTATTGACCATTTAAGCTTGACAAATAGATTATAAATAATAAACTGATTATTTGCCAATTCTCTATGTAGTTGCAACACTTTCGTGAAAATTATCATCCTGCATAAAGAGTACTGATTTGTCATCTTTTTAAATTTATGAAAGAACTTCTATATATAACAACATATAAGTTATATATGACATTTTTAGTTCTTTCATTTTATTTCATGTAATAAATGTAATTAATCTTAAAATCACATACATTTTTTAAAAGTAGAAATCTGACAGTGACCACCATTGTTTGTCATAATATGTAAATGTATATGTTGTAAAACAATAGACACCTTAAGTAAAATGTATTACAAGTAACAAAACTGTGTAGTATCAAACATGAATTCAAAATAGCTTTATTTTTAAAGTGTTTATTCTTTTAAGGAAATTCATAAACAATTTTGTTTACAATTTTCTAATACCTCAGAAATTGGGGAAACTAAGTTTGACAAAGAGCTTGCATTGATAAATCGACGCTACGATGCCCTCAAGAAAACCATATTGGGTTTGATTGAAGACCTTGCATTGATACGTCTCTGGCTCACCAGTCGGGATTCTGTGAACAGCATGAAAGTGACCGTGGAAAACCTTCTCACTCAGCTGACGGAGAAGAAACCGAATAGCAAAGATTTACAAGAACTGTCAGGGGAAATAGGTGCTTTCTTGGTAAGTTTAATCCGCATATTTTAGGGGAAGAAAGTCAAATTGTTGGTGAATAACATTTATTTGGATATGTAGTTATATGCATGCACTCACCTTGTTCATTTGTGTTTTCCACCACCCCTCCCAATTAATTTTCATTTATAAAATACTTACTGCAGAAGATGTCAACAATCATGGCTTTACTATACATCAACAAGGCAAATATAGCTGTATAAAAATACAAGAGATTTTGATTTTAATTTTTATTTGTACTGCAGTTATCAAGGACTATACACAGTACAACAAGCAAAACAAAGCTATAAAAGACTGCATCCATAGTGGACCTTTTTTACCAAATCCCACCCCATGGATATTATTGTTAAGGTCACACATGTCTCTTATACACATCTAGATGTGTATAAGAGACAGCAAGAAAACCATATTGGGTTTGATTGAAGACCTTGCATTGATACGTCTCTGGCTCACCAGTCGGGATTCTGTGAACAGCATGAAAGTGACCGTGGAAAACCTTCTCACTCAGCTGACGGAGAAGAAACCGAATAGCAAAGATTTACAAGAACTGTCAGGGGAAATAGGTGCTTTCTTGGTAAGTTTAATCCGCATATTTTAGGGGAAGGAAGTCAAATTGTTGGTGAATAACATTTATTTGGATATGTAGTTATATGCATGCACTCACCTTGTTCATTTGTGTTTTCCACCACCCCTCCCAATTAATTTTCATTTATAAAATACTTACTGCAGAAGATGTCAACAATCATGGCTTTACTATACATAAACAAGGCAAATATAGCTGTATATATATATAAGAGATTTTGATTTTAATTTTTATTTGTACTGCAGTTATCAAGGACTATACACAGTACAACAAGCAAAACAAAGCTATAAAAGACTGCATCCATGGTGGACCTTTTTTATTAATCCCACCCCATGGATATTATTGTTAAAGTAACACAAAACATTATGCATAAAGTTATGTAAACATGTACATTTGTGGGACAACGCATGTTTTTAGGCCCTGCGCGAGTTGTCAACATTGATTGACACTCCGGAAGGTCCTTTAGCAACTGCGGCAGAAAGTAAAATTTTCCGTCCTCCAGGTTTGCGGTTTTTTTTTTTTTTTCGAAAAATTATCTAACATCGCATTTGGGATCTGTAGATTGTGAGTAAAGAGGTTGATGAGCTAGGCCCTTCTGTAGTCGATGTAATCAACTCTGGTGAAGCTTTCCTTCGTGAGCACCATGATACACTCAGCTCTGATTGCTACACCGGACTTCAGCATTATATTAGTGAACTTCGAACTCTCTATGAAAAACTGAAAAAGAATGCTGCTGATTGGTTGAAAAATTCACATGATGTACTTGATGAGCTGGAACAAAACCAACAAGATTCTGTAAGTTCTGTAACAATAATACACTATATAATAATTATAGTAATGGTAATGTTGATAGTGGTGATGATGATTTGTTATTGTTATTATGGTTATAAGGAAGTGTTTGTGTTTACATTTTCATTAGGCCATGCTGAGTGAGCAGTATCATAATGCAGTCTTGTTTCTGCAAGACCTCTTGGATTGGGTTAGAAAAGCAGAGAACAACCTGGCAACACAAGATTCAATGGGAAATTCACTGACAGCCCTTATGAAGCAGTTGACACACCACAGGGTAAATCAAAGTCTTCACATTGTTTAAATCAAGGTTAACATTAATTTAGGTAAATTATATATAATAATAATTATTATATGTTAAAATATTTATTTTCTTAATATATGTGAATGTTCTCACAAAACTACATAAAGTATTAATATATTTTGAAAAATCATTAATAATGTTCAAAAGAATACCAATATTTGTATTTTGGGGTTTTTTTTCTTTCAATTTATATAAAACATAGGCCTTTTACTTTGTTGATAACAAAACATACAGATTAATAAGTTATTTTCAACAAAATTTGGGTGAAACAAATGTTCAATTGTAGTTTGAATTCTGTAACTTGGAAGCCTACTATGTTCTTGGATGTACAGTGAAATATAACATAAATTTTTTGTCTTCTTGAATATACTTTCACCTGATGAACTGATAATATACAATGTTTCTTGACCTTGAAGATAATAGAATCATCCACCACACTGTACTTCCATGCACCACACTATACATACCTGCAGTGGCGGATTAAATGGGGGTGGGGGCAGCTGTCCCGGACCCCCTAAATTTTTTTAAATTATAAAAGTAATGGAGAAATAAAAAGAAAATTATATTCAAATATAAGTCTGAGAGTGCCATTTTTAACCATCTCAACCCCAACCATGGTGCCCCTGAGGTGATATAGACCTGCTATCAATCAAATCCTCCCTCGGTCTCTTTTATTTTGAATTCCTGGATCGCCACTGCTACCATAACATTCATTTTGTCTGTTTTAATCATTTTTTTTATAGGAAATCCAAAATGATATCCAAGATCACCAGAATCCTGTAATCAAGGCAATTCAGGATGCTCAAAACATGATACAGAAGTACCGGTTAAGACTCAGTAAAGATGAACTTGACAACCTCACAGACCTCAACTCCGAGTTAAGCCATCGGTTTAACCATGTCAATGGAGAGTCTAGCATGCGTTTGACCCAACTCCAGATTGCCTCCCAAGATCTACCAAAGTTTGATGAAGAAATTACAGACTTTGGGCAGTGGTTGGCCACAGCTGAGCACACTCTAGAAAGGTCATTGAAATCAGTAAACAGAGACCTTCCCACAATGCAACATCAACATGCACAGCACAAGGATTTCAATGATGACATACTAACCCACTCCGCTGACTTGAAGTTTATCATCAAAGCAGGCGAGAAAATGCTAGAAATGTCAAAGGTAAGGGTGTTAATTGCTTTTTGCTTGCGAAATTACAAATACCTTCCTATATGCAATGTTAATTGGTAAAGCCATCACTCACTGTATTGTACAACGGTCATACAAATCCAACTCCGCTCTCTTTGTGCGATAGACGATGTGACGCCATCTGCTGATTGTCGGTGGCAGTCTGAACTGTTCGTCATTAAAAACAATCCATTGTGCACACGTCGTCGCGTTGTGTTCTTTAGAATCGTGTCGGATAACGACATTCGTGTGCATTGAGATCCCGGCTTTGCACTAGACTAATAAAAGGAGGAAAAAGGAGTAATTCTTAAAAATATAAATTGTTAAACTTAAAGGTCTTTAATTTTAGGGTTATGAAGCATCCCTGGCAACTTTCCGAGAAAGCATCAGCAATTTTCAGTTTGTGTCTCATCCAGAACCGAATACGATATCAGATCGTTTGACTAGTGTAACGAGGCGTTACGACCTGCTGAAGACAAGAAGCAGTGAGCACTTAAGTCTATTAAACCAGGTTATCTCACTGCAACAGTTATTTGAAGACCACTGTGTTAAATTTTATCGCTGGCTAAAAGAGACCGAGGCTGCCCTGAACAAAGTGTCATCAAGTGATGCAGCAAATATTCAACAACAAATCAATAAACTACAGGTAATTTATTTTATATTGTATGCCTAGTTTGTTTTTATGGTATGAGTGAAGGAATAAATAAATGGATGAAGGAATAAGTTAATGGATACATATACAGCAAATATTCAACAAAAAATCAATAAACTGCAGGTAATTTATTTTATATTGTACGCCTAGTTTGTTTCTATGGTATTAGTGAAGGAATAAATATATGGAAGAAGGAATAAGTTAATGGATACATTGCAATGCTACTGAAATTTACCTTAACATATTTTTTAATTTTTTTTTTTTAATTACTGCCTGTACATTCATTAATTTATTTCCATTTGTTGTAATTTGCATCATAAAAATACATAGAAATTGATGTTGCTCTGAGACACAATTACATAAAATACAGAACTAAACAACAAAAAAAAATATGCTTACAGAGTCAGTCATTTCCCTTTCGTATGATACCGCTAACAATCTTTAAGTACCCAAATGGCTGCTGGGTAGCAGGCTGTTTTGTTACCTGTTTGTACCACTATTATAAATAATGATTTAAGTATACTAACTTTATTTTCAATACTACTTCACAACACAAATTATTGTAGGGTAATCCACTCCCACTGCCATCATGTCATAATAATGATACACATCTATTTATAAATAAAAAATTTTTTTCCAGAAGACTAAAAAAAAACCAAAAAACAATCCATTGAATATCAGCCCTTTGGTCACTTAAATTCAATTTAATTTATATTTCATCATTCCTTCACTAAGGATTAAATTTGTAATATTAATTTTATTTTGATGCAGTTGATCCAAGATGATGTTGTGGCACATCTGCAAGATATTGATCAATGCAAAGAGTATTGTCGGGAACTTGGTGATGCTGAACCTGAATTGGAGCCAGCTGCCAGAAAGAGCACCGGTAAACATTTTATCTTTTAATTTCGTGGATTGAAAATGTTTGCCAAAAAATCTGTATGTAAATATATTTCATTATTATAAGTAACATTTTTCTTGTATCATGTAGACGAGATGGTGAGGCGATACAATGCTCTCGATGCCAACATCAAATCACGCAGTTCACAGCTGCATGAGGGTCTTGTGCAGTCACAGAGCTTCCAGGAAAGCTGTGATGACCTCCTGCAATGGTTGGATCTCACCGAAGCGAAGCTCTACAAGATGGAGAAGGGAACACTACTGATAATCAAACGAGCTCCTCTCATTGAAAACCTCCAAGAAGTTAAGGTAAGGCAGGTGGGAGACCTATGATCATTTTTCTAAGCTGAAAGAGAGTGTACATCATGTATTGTTATTGTTTTCTTAATGTTGGTTTGAGAACACGAGATGATGCAAATCAGGGACTGATTATTGTTGAAATATAAATGATAATAATAATGATAATAACGATAGTAATTATAATATAATTATTCTTCTTATAGGCAATAGAAGGTGATATTGAGAGTCACAGGTCAAGTATTCGAACATTCAATGATATGGCTGACAAGGTAATTAAAAGCAGTGAACCCCGCATTGCCAAGGCAATACAGACCAAGATCTCTTCTGTTAATTCCCGCTTTGATCAGTTGACAGAATCAGTCAGACGCCATAGCCGGATCGTTGAAGACTTCATTACGAGGCTGGAAGAATTTGAGAAAGCTGTTGACCAATTAGAAGACTGGTTACTTCCTGTCTGTGATGAATTGGACTCGAAAGAGATGTTCAACCTTGACCTCAGTCAAATAGAGAAAAATGTTAAAGTATGTGTTTTAATCTCTAAACAAAGTATATTTCTAGATGATATAAAATGTGATGAATAGGAATAAGTAAAATTAGATTTTATTACTACAATGAAAACTGAATGTTATATGTATTTGCAACAAGCAATAAACCTTTGAATGATCAAATATATCGAGATATAATTAACATTTTAATGTAAATTGTTCAAACGCACATAATGTACTGTACTTTATGTGTCTATTTCATGAATTCTTTACTTGGATGAGCTGATATAAGCCAGATTACAAATGGAACTCACCCGCGAAAAAATAATGGAATCATCTAACCCAGGCATATATAACCCAACATTTCATAACAATCCTCATAAATTCATTTATGTTTTTCTTACTTAAAATGCTTGCAATATTACATAGATAATACCATAGATGACAAGCAGACATAGATCCAATAAATGTTTGCCCATTATAATCTTGAAATAACATGGACATATATAATTAAATAACAATTGATAATCGCAATAATTAGGATGTAAACTATTAATGAAATAAACATTGAATTTATTTTCTTTTAGAATTGGGTTCAGGAACAGTCAGTTTATCAAAATCAATTGAAGCGAATTCACTCTATGGGAGAGCGTCTTGTGCAGGATCCTAAAGCTAGTGATGCTTCTTATGTGGCTTCTGTCCTCACCAGTGTCAGCAACAACTGGAGAGCTCTTGAAGATCTTCTTCAAAGGAGGTACTTTTTACTAATATTGATATTTTTATTGGTGTTTTGTTCCAAGCTATATATATATATATACATATATATATATATATAAATCAAGATAGCTGTTAACACTGTTAAATTAAATTATATATAAATCGTCAAAGAAAGGTAAATACAGTGTTCGAATAAAGGACATAATAATACATCATGTAGCATAGCTTTCAATGAATATAGTCCTGTAAATAAATGAATAAAAAAATTGTGTAATAAAATGCTTCTGGCGGGACTCGAACCTGCAACCTCTCGCTGTCAGGGCAAGATTCAAATACCACCAGATACACTCCATTACACCTGTCTCTTATACACATCTAGATGTGTATAAGAGACAAATTGTTTGTTTAATATCATAAATCATCTTTTTAAAAGTTTTTTTACATATTGTGTTTATCAATTCCAACAGCCCAACAACAAATATCTAACTTTATTTTATGCAGGAGTAAGCAAATTGATGCGAGAATTAGAGCAAGTAGGAAGTATAACTATGCTTACAAGGAGGTAGGCCATTGGTTGGATAGCTCAGAGTATAAGGTGAAGCAGTTGATTCCTGCACCAAGAGACCTGCCTACTCTACATAACCAAATACAAGTTACCAAGGTACATATTCCTGTTTAAACTAAGTGGAAAAGACAAGCCAAACCCATCACTCAAATTGATTTTTAGTTATTAACACAAGGTTAAACACCAAAATGAGAGCTATAAAATGGTAAAAGAATCATGTAAATTATTTTGAATGGTTAATATGAGACAAGTTAAGAGATAATGTATGGAAATAAAACAAAAGTTCACATAAAACAATAAGAAGAGGTGGATATTCAACTAAAGAAAAAAGATAATTGTATTTCACATAAATGAAAATATTATTGTTCTTTTCCATGTTTGCATTTGTTATTTAAAATTTTTAAAATGTTTTTATAATTTAGAGAATTGTGTTCTTTTTCCATAAATACTAATAACAATGATTAAATTAAGTCATAATTTACCTAGCAGTCCTAGTTTGTCAATCAAACAATCTTTCATACACAGAAATTATTGACTGAGATTAATAACTACAAGCCAACGATAACAGACTACAGTCGTTATGGGCAGATACTAGATAGATTGACGCAAGAGGAAGAAGTAGTGTTGCACAGCCGCCCTCATTTTAGGTCACTTCAAATCGGTACTACCAATGCTGCACTGTCATGGAAACAGAAGTCTTCTGGAAATGATGAAACAAAACTCATAGCTGAAGGTAAAAGCTTATTTTAAGATGATGATAAATGTTTCCTAATAATACTGAAGTCTCTTTAAAACATTCAAGTTAGTATGAAATGGAGGCAGCACTATGAAACAATAGACATGAGATTCAAGCCTTACCAAATGTTATTTGCTTATTGCAAATTAAGTTCTTAAATCATCATTATTTGAAATTTTTCCCAGTAACAATTTTTTTTTTTATCATTTGATTGATTTTATACCGCTTTATCTGCTTAGTTGATTCAGCCATTCAAAAACAAGTGGGAATTGTTGAACAGCGTTATGCTGCCCTCATCAGCCATTTGAATGACCATGATGCTTTGCTGCACATCATTGAAATGTACCTAGAGAGGAAATTGAATCTTACTGATTTACTCAACTGGGTGTCAGACATTGATTCAAGGGTAAACCTATCAGCACCAAGTAGTCTTGACTTGAACATGTTACATAAGGAGTTTGAATCGTACAAGGTAAAATATTGATTGCGTATTTCTATTACTGCTTTTGTTTTTCAGTTTTATTAATCTTGTGAAACAAATAATCAAGATGTATAATGATCATTGTTGAAATTGTACTTTTATTTATCAGCGAGCTTAATATTGCTATTAATTATATCATTATCAAGTAATTTCATTGTTTTTCAAAATAATTTTACCATTAAGTTTTTAAATAGTAACACTAATAACAAAACATATAAATGTTATAGTAGTGGTGGATCCAGAAATTCGTAATAGCCCAGGGAAGGACTTTCACAGATAGAGGATCTACCCACCTCAGTCTCACCATGGCTGCCCCCTCCCTATTTAATTTGCCACAGGTCCAAACACTACATAAAAATCATTATCTCTTCATATTCCGTATATACTTTTTACTTTTAATTTTGTTTTGTGGGAGCTAAAGCCATGAAATACATTGTTAAGCACGGATAAAAAATATATAAATTAAAGTTCTGTAATATTGATTATAAGCATCTCTTACCACATTTATTTACCATACAGTTTGTTTTAATAATTCTAAATCTTTATATCTCTAAACATTTAGGGTATCCATGGTGATGTGGAAGCCAAGAAGGCAGCTATTTTAGATTCAGTTCACGGTGCTGAACAGTTTCTCTCTGACAAACGGCATCAATTGACCTCAGAACAAATTGATGACCTCCAGAAGCTTATCGCAGATCTTCGACATCAGTATGATCTTTTGAGTCGGAGATCAGGTGACATTTACAAGAAGACAGAAGACACCCTCAGCAGTCTTCGTCTAAATCACGATGAAAGGGTTCGTAAGATTTAATATAACTTTTATAAGGCAAGAGAAAATGTCATTAAAATGTCAGTGATGTTGATAGATAGAATTCCTTGTTGATTTAATAATAACTGACATAGGATGTGTTGTAACTGAGCCATCTCAGGCAGGCTAACATCAGGACATCAAAGCTTATTAATATTTTAATGAAATCATAATATTCTTACGGTACACCATGTACATAGTTCTAAAAAGGACCACTGTTTGTTGAGAATGTCTTTACAAATCATTCTTATCAAACAACAGTTCTTTTCAGAACTATCTGCATGGTGTACCGCAAGAATTAATATATTATTAATTCGCCATGCAAACCTTCAAACAATATTTAAAAATCATATATATATATATATTATATATATATTATATATATATTTATATATATTTATATATACATACTTTAGAAATCATAATTATAAATTATTTATCATAAATATTAGTATTAATTTGATTTTACACTGAGGTTTTCCTTATCAATATTTCCTTAGATAAGATTGCAGGAGCAGTATGATTCTCTAAATCAGAAAGTCAGAGATATACTGGACTGGATTACACATGCTGAAAACCAGTTAGCCTCTGGACAGCCACTAGCAGAGCAATTGAGACCATTGTCAGACCAGCTCAGTCAACATAAGGTTAGTTTTGTGTCTTGGTAAAAGAGCCTGTGGAAAAGACGTTGTTATGTAATAGAATAGGACTACCTAAGTGGTACAAATAGCCCAGAGAACTGCAAACTCAGGCTTTTAGGATGGCCGCTTAAAGAGTTGAAAATGTTCACAATTTGCTCATAAAATGAACAAAAGGACATAATCTGATATCCTATTGTGAAAACTGATATGTCGCTGTTAATTTATCAAATGTACATCGGTTTGTATTGTTTTTGCCCGTTGATTTTGATTTGTATTCTTCAAAGCGCACATTCAACTTGAAAATGTATACATTTCAAAAGCCATATTCTGTGAATATGCGGAATATATTTACAACTGACAAATTATTATTTTTATTCAGACGTTGAATGAATCGATAAAAGAGCATCAAGAAGAAGTGTTGGAAGTTTGTCAAGTAGTGCAACACTTTCTAAAGCTTCCACTAGACAGCTTCAATATCAAAGACATTGAGAACCTGCAGAAAGATGCCACCAGTTTGAGATCCCGGTACAATAATCTCAACAGCCATTCAAATTCACGCCTGACCAAACTCCAGCAAGCTCTTCATGACTTGGAGAAGGTTGTGGCAGAGATGGAAGAATTTGAGTCCTGGATGTCTCAAGCAACAGGAATTCTTGAGAGGTCTGTTACGAATATAGGAGTTGATAGTGATCAAGTTAGACACCAGTGTGAAAAACAGAAAGAGTTTGCAGAAGATGTTTTCAGTCAAGCTGCTAACTTGAAGTTTATCACACTTGCTGGATCAAACTTTGTAGCATTTTCAAAGGCAAGTCCTCTATCATCATTTAAATTGACAACAACATATTTTTATTTACAACAGCATTTTTTTATTATTGTGAAATGTTAATAGTATATACGATTATCACATTTTTAGTAAAAACTTTAATACATTGTACAGGAATACCTTGAAGCTTTGGCCGAGTTCCGTGATTGCACCCCGATTCGTCAGTTTTCCTTGTCATCCAGCCATATACCAGATAGCAACATAATATCTGACAGACTAAGTGACCTCAACAACCGATACAAACAACTGAAAGGAGAGTGTCAAGACCACACAATGTTGATCACAAAAATCTCTGACAGAATGGAAAAGTATCAATCTTCATCCGAATTCATGCTAGAATGGCTGGATGAGATGACAGAGCTTGTCAAGAAGCTGGTGAAAGAAGATGTCTCTGGAGAACCAAGTCATCTTCAGGAACAGATTGACAGAGTCAAAGTAAATTCTAAAGCTTTGTAGTTTCAACATTTAGAATAGAGTTTAATAGAGTAAAAATAAATTTTAGACGTCTTTCTCAAGAATCCATCTTAGGAACAGATTGACAAAAAAAAGCAATGTGATAGATTGAAACTCCCAAAGGGTTATCTCAACTTATTTAGTAGAGCACCTCTAGTGACAGGGTCAAGGGTTCTAATCCACTGTAGACAATATGTTGTCTGGAATTGTCTAGGACTAGATGCCAACATCATTCGAACACCTGTGAATACTGTTCTGGTGGCCCTTGTGCCTTAAATTGCTGAGGAACGGTGCAGTGGTTTGGTTTCGTCTTCTTTGTTTTATTTTTTTCTCACTTCCGGCTTTCTTTTGTTAGATGTAGTTCATGTCCATATTTTGCAATAGTGTTGTATAATAGTAAAACAATACATAAAAAGCATAAAGCACTCTCATGATCTTCAAGAAATAGTGCTATATAAATGATGTATTATATCTATGTATGAATATTTTATCACCATTAAACCTGGTTTCTCCATAACAAATTAAATTTCATATAAATTATTATTATTATTATTTTTAATTGTGTTTGATGTGTTGTGACATAAAATTAATTATACTAATCCATTTTCCTTAGGATGCCAATGACACTATTCTACTGCATGGCAGGGAAGTCAACAGACTGAAAGAATCTGGAAGAGACCTCTGTGATGTTCATGATGATGTTAAAAAAAGTGTACAGACACATTTAGGTAAAATAATTATAATATATTAACAATAAGTATCCTGTCTACTACTACTTCTACTACTACTACTACTACTATGTTACTGCTACTACTGCTGCTGATACAGTTGCTGTTGCTAGTACTACTGCTACTGTTATACCTTAAAGGCTAAATGGGAATCGATATATGCCAATTTTTTTTCCAGAACAAAAATATTATGAAATAGTGGCTTAGTTGTGTTAGTCTGAACTATATAAACAGTAAAAAAGACAGGCAGCACTAATAAACCTAACAAATATTTTATTGAGCACAAGCTTTCATTCACACAGTGGTAGTATAAAATTCAATATTGTAATTGTCTATCCTCCTTACATTGAGAACAGATCCTTGGTAAATATTTGAATACCAATTCCAATTATTATTTGTGTAATGTATTTGCATGAGACTGCTTCTTTTTTTTTCTTGTTTTTTTTATCATGATCCACATAAAATTAGCATTGGACAAAAATAGTATAATAATTAATTTTTTTGACTATTAACATGCCTATTGTTAAAAATACATTTCTTGATTAAATTTACTGTAAATGTAATTATTGAATATACTGTACCTACCAACAGATAATGTCAGTAAGAGGTACAAGGAACTGTTGACCCAGTTATCCGAGTACAAGATGAAACTCACCAGTAGCCTTAGTGGCAATATAGGCCTCCGTGAGCGACTGGAGAACCTTCTAAGACAGATACTGGATGCAGAGCATATTTTTGCCAGACTTGGGCAGATTCCTATCATCTTGAAAAAGGAACCACTTACAAATATCTTGCAAGAATATGTGGTGAGTTTGAAATTGAATTTGTGTGTGAGATGATTTTTGTTCTGTCATTTTATGAATTGAGTTGTGTGTACAAAAGTCAGTATGCTAAAATTTGTTTAGAGTTTCTTATGTATCAAACTATTATTCACATTCAAAAATATTCACTTTATAGAATTTGAAGAACCAATTAGAAACTCTTCAGTCTGTGGTGAGCAACATTAACCGTGATGTGACCAGTGTTGTTCAGAGTGGAAAGTCAAGTACCCTTCATAATATCCAAGCAAAGCTGGATGACATGAACTCCCGTTACAGTCGTCTGTTAAGTCCTATAGTGGATAAATGCAAGTTTGTTCAGGCTTTACTGGAAAAGGTGAACCTTTTGCAGAGGGAAGCTGATGAAGTTGAAGACTGGGTCCTGCCAGAGCTGGAGATGTTGCAGTCAGCTGACATTAACAGGAAGGAATTATCAGAACTTCAAAGCATATTGCAGGTTAGTCAATGTGTACCATTTTACCGTCAGACAGTGATTGATATACTGTATGCAATATGTATTTTGAGGTATTCTTGTATCATTAGATACAACCCTTTTAGAGTGTATATAGGTTTTTAGTTGATAATGTTATATAACTTATGAATACTTAACTGGATCATCTCAAAGTCTAAGTTACCCTTTAGCTGAATTTACCTTTAAATTATAAAAAAAATGATAACGTACATAAAAATGCCCAACACCAAGCCCAAAATAGTTTACTAGTGAATTTCATTGAATTTTTGTTCCAAATTGTAGAAAACAGCAATAGGATTGGACAGATATGCACCACAATATCAAAAGGTTGTGTCTATTGCTGATGAACTTTTAACAGAAAAAGATGTTGCTGACTCATCTAGTGTTGTTGAACTTCAAGAAAGTATGCATGATAACTGGTCTGGGCTCAAAGAGACATTGTCTTCTAGGTAAGGAAATATTTTTATGAGAATTGCTAGTGATTAGTAATATTGATAATAATACAATAATTGCCTGCATTTGGTCATATATAGTTTAATAATGATAGATAATATAGATGGATGTATACCGAACGAAAGACAATTTTAGTACTAATAGCTCTTCACTTGTGCAATTCTGATGAATATATACTTACTGTAATGAATTTTCTATTGACATAATAGGAGAGTTCTGGTAGAGGAGAGAATTGAAGCAATGAGACTATACAACTTGCTCCTGAAGGAGGTCAGTCCCTGGTTGGCAAGCATGGAAAGAAAACAGGCTCAGCTTGGTAGTGTTGCCATTGAATTGAACGATATACAAGCACAGCTAAGCATAGTCAAGGTATGTCTGATAAAGATAGACATGGCAAATGAAACCAACTTAACATAATTCTGAATAGTTGACCTTAAAATGATTTACTTTATTCTTATTATTTGCAATAATGATGTTGTAGTAGTAATATATAATACAGAATTTAATAATACATATGATAATAGTAATGACATTAAATAATGATAAAGAGTACTGTAATGATAAAGAAACAATTTATATTAATGATAATTATAATTAATATGTCTATTTCGTGAATACTTACCTGTATGAACCGATATATGCCAATTTCCTTTTAGGAACTTACTTAAAAAATAATGGAATAGTCCCGACCCAGGCGTATATAATGCAACACTGTTAAATAACAGGCCTCAATTAATATATTCTCTAGGCATTTTCCAACTATCACCCTGATCATCGCAAAAAATTCAATCATAACACAATTTGAATCATTTGCTGCTTTCTCTGGAGGTGCATTCCTATACAGTATAGAACATCTTCACCTTACCAGGTATCCAATTATACTCATGTTTGGAGAGAGAAATGCAGATAAATTTCTGGCTGTGTCGTAATCACCAACTTCTCCACCTGTTGTCTTGCAGTTAACCATTGTTTTAATACCAAGTAATATTATTTCTATCACCAGCCATTCAGAAATGAGGTTGTTGATTATCAGGGTAAGATATCAAAGTTGAATGCTGCTGGAGCGAAAGTGGATGAGTTAATGCACGATGTGCCATCAATGATGGGAAAATCATTCCGTCGATCATCCCTTCTCATTACGTCGTTGCCTATGTTTGATAGGTTTGGATCGCTATTTGCATTGAAAACATCTGGCGAAACTGCAGGCTACTTGGAAGGTATGTTAGTGTCCGTCTATAAATCACAGGATTTTAGGTAGATGGAAAAAAAAAGAATATGTGATGGTGGTATTGCTGTTTGTGAATAAACTTCTTTGTGAATTACAAAAACTGGGCATTTTGACAGTCAAAATGGGTGCACAGCCTGCTAGCTATAACTGTCGGTATTTGTCAAATTATGATATTTATTATCATATTGAATCCTATCATTTTTATTGTTTTATAATATAATAATGATACTTAAATGAAACAGTTTTGTAAATTGTTTTATAAACTTCATATTGATTTACAGAGGAGTCTGAGGTACAGCTGCAGCTTTCCGACATTAACAAGCGCTACAAATCACTGAGTGTTGCCCTTGAGGACAGGGAGAATGAACTCGAGTTGAACCTAGAGGCTGCCAGAGTACTTCACCCTGTTGACCAGTTCATCAACTGGACAATCAAAACACAGGCAAAGCTGTCCAGTCCAAAGCAACTGTCCTCAGATATCAGTAGTGCCCATGCTGACTTAGAACAATTACTGGTAAGATATGTGATTTTGTAGTAATCTCTGTATATACAGGTTGTACTAGTAAGTTATATTTATGAGTGCAATGGGATAGAATATTTTATTGATTTAAAAGATGGAATATTCTATTTAGCTTTACTATGTCTTGTTTAATGGAACCTTCCATTTTCACTGAATATTTTTATATTTCATTGTATGAATGAGAAACATTCATTAATTGTTTTATTCAGTGCCTTACTGTATAACGATACCTGTAATTTGTTATGTTGGTTCCAAATGTAAAGTCATTGTCAAAAGAGAGGCTAAGAGCCTGCAGCTGCCAGTACCTATATATCATGATATTGATAAATTTTACCAGTCTATTTCGTGAATACTTACCTGGATAAACCGACTAATTGCCATTTGTTCTACTAAAAAAAATAGAACAGTAGCAATATAGGCTACTACAGCACAAAGGAGCTGCTTCAACGAACAACGTCTAATAGGGAATGAGGACGATTGTTAGGGTGTTCCGTTTTAGGAACAATGGCAATTATTCGGTTTATCCAGGTAAGTATCTCACTCATAGACTACCAACACCACGATTGATTTGTGTAATTTTAGAGTCTACATCAGGAGATTCTTGGTCAGCAGTCTGCAGTCCATCAGTCTTGTGACAGAGCGAACAAGTTGCTGCATGACAACAGAGAACACTTCAACCAAGAGCAGTATGATGTTGTCAATGAGAGGAGTGGTGATCTTAAGACAAAGTACAATGAATTGTTGGTGGCATTTAATCATAGCAAGAGATCTATGGAGGAGAACATTTTGAAGCTTCGTATCCTTGAAGACGAAAGGGTAAGTTTTTGAAAGATTTGCTGTTTAGCAGTTGTGCATCTAGGAGTCTTGAAATGGGGAGCTGATGGGGGCGTGGAGGACATGTGGGGGGAAGCGATGAGGTGAGTGGGTGCTATACTTGCAAAATAAGGTGATTTTTATGTGCTTGGGCATGATTTTTCGGGGGAGACTAGGGGGCCTCCAAGTGTTTTTTGGGGGTGTTCACTCCACACGCACATTAGAAACGTTACTGCTGTTTAGGAAAGTTCACTGACCACTATATGCCATAGTTGGTATTGTTGATGAGGTAATTGCTTATTTGATCATTATTCTAAAGAATTCCTTTGATTCTCCATAGAAATAGTCAAAACGAAAGAATTTTTTGCTATAGTTAAGATCATTATTTAACCAATAGAAGCATTTCGTTTGTCAATTAGCTAAATTACTGTAATTTAAACAATAGAAGCATTTGATTTGCCAAAATAGTCAAATTTATATTAATCATTAGGAGTGAAATTTCATCTTATATGTATGATTCCCTGTAAGTGCCATTATTTCATGTTTATAACCATTATTCTCCATCAGGTGTTGATACAGGGGAGATTGAAAGAAGCACAAATGTCGCTCTCCCAGCTTGTTGATTGGATATCTCAGATGGAAAAGAAATTAGGAACTCAGCAGCCAATGGCAGAGCAGCTCCGACCTTTGAGATCCCAGATAGACCGCCACTCTGTGAGTTTGATTCAATTTCAAACCCTTTTTCTTATTTTCTTAGTGGCATTGGAAGATCTTGGTGCCAATGATGATAATGCTCAATGTAATGATGACCATGGTGGTGTTGGTGATGATCACCCCATAAAGATTTTGTACTTAAACCAGATGTTCTGTTGTCTACTATTTTCTAACAGTGCCCTTAAAACTTGAAATACTGTATTTGTTTAGTAGGTAATGTATTTTTTACTATCCACTATTAATATCATTTAAATATTGTGCTCGTATTAAACTTTTTCTAGGCCTTAAATGGTGAGATTGTTTCCAGAAGGCCATCCATTGTCCAGACCCTTGAGGATGTTAACCTGTTGCTCCGCCAGTACGGAGACAAAATTAGCCATGAGGATGTGTCACAGCTACGCAGTGATAATGATAATCTTATGCAACGTTATGAAGTGATTGGTAGTCAGTCCTTAACTAGACTCAACCATCTGACAGCAGGTCTTGATGACCTACAGCGATATCAAGAGGAGTTTGACGACTTTCTGGAGTGGCTGAAGACGACAGAGGACTTTTTAGAAAAACTCCAGAGAGGAATGGGTCGTGATCTACAGAATCTTCAAAGGCAGCTCCAAGATATGGATAGTCTGATGGAACAAATTAGTGATCGAAAAGGTGATCTGAAGTTCCTAAAGAGAGCAAGCCAACGATACTTTGATATTGCCAAGGTACAGACTTCTCAACAATTTTAACTATTGTGGTTTTTTGTTTTTTTTAATTTAAGCATCAATAATACTGTATTAAAACTTTGGATTCATTATGATTGCTGCATTGTCATTCTTGTTGTACATAATATGTACATAATCTTGCTCATTAGTTAGTTCAAATTAATTTTATTTATTTATCCAATTCTTACTTATTTTTGTTATTTTATATGTAGACTTTCCGGGACGCATTATCTGAATATCGCCGACTAATCAGTACAGAGCATAGTTTCATGGAAATATCAGAGTCGCGGCAGATTCAAGATGAACTGTCTGATGTCTACGAGAGATACACAAGCTTGAAGAGTAGCTTCCATCGTCATATAAAACTACTGAAAGATATAATTAGCAAACATCAGAAATATGCAGAGTCATGTAATGGTGTGTTGCCATGGATACATGATGCCTACAACAATGTGTCTAGTTTTATCAAAGAACCATTAGAGACTGAGCCCGAAGGCCTTGCTAGGCAGATGGACCAAGTCAAGGTTTATAAAATCCTTCATTATTTTGTAGAATAATCTCGACATGAAGTATAGGGAGTGAAGGTAAAGGGATGACATTCCTCTGGTGTGCAATTACCAAAATTTGGTCATCATGATTTATTTAATTTTTTTTCCTTTAAATGGAAAATTGATGAAATTAATAAACAATCCTTATTATTGCTTTTATTGTTCTCATTTTTGCAGACATTAATCCACGATCTGGTTCTGCATACAAAAGACATTGAGACACTGAAGGATTCTGGGAAAAATTTAGCTTCCGCCCAGCCAGAAATTAGAGACAATGTTATGAAAACTGTTGGTAAGAATGAGTATTTTTTAAATATTTAATAATAAATATTATAATAAAATAAATAATTTTTAATTTAAATAAATAAATAATAAATTAATTAATAATAAATAATTAAATAATTTAAAAAAAATATTTAAAAAATCTGAAAGGCATTTTTAACATGCAGCGTACATTTATTCCAACTAAATTATATATGTATATCATCAATTAATGTTATAAACCCTATCTCTCTTTTAAACAATGACCTCTAGTTTGTGGTATTACTTTTTGAGAGAATATGATTGTGTTCCAAAAGAAACCCGAAAGTCGACCACTTTCCATTCTGTACTCACTTTACTTACTTGGTACTCTTTGGTGAAACCTACAATGTAAAAAGTTACTATATGTACATCATAATGATTAAGGTTGTAATGCATATATCTTTTTAAAGATGATGTATCTGAAAGGTATGCATGGATGGAAGCTCAACTTTCCTTACGCCGTGGTGAACTTGAAAGAAACCTTGGTCTTTCAAGGAGTGTCTTGGATGAACTGGATCGTCTGCTGGAATGGCTTGAAGTGACAGAGAAGAAAGCAGCTAAAGTGGTTAACACTGCTGTTGTTGTTAAAAAGGATCATATCTATGACCTGGTGCAGCAGTTGAAAGTGAGTACAATTTATGCCTCATTTAAAATGTATTTGTTAAATGTAGTTTTTATTTGTATTTTTAAAACATTGTTGATTTTAGTGTCCATAGACTCTATTGATAGAATAGATTTTTAATATATTTTTTACATACTTCTGGATGAACTGATGTACCCAAGTTCTTCTCAAAGATAGACTATGTTATTTTGGCATTGCATTTGGCAATAGTGGTTATTGTAAAAGAAAATGGACTACAAATATAGATATTCTAGTGCAGTAATGGTCTCCCTTTAATTATAGACCCCTCCAATTAGTGACTACCTCCAATTAAAGACCACTTTACTGTGGTCCCAAATTAGAAAATGTCTTTTATCTTTATTATTCTAATTATAGACCAAAGCTGCTAAAGACCATGAAAACCTCGGTCCTAAAAGTGGTCTTTAATTGAAGAGAGACTTGATAATATTTAAAATTATTATTTGTTAAATTACGATTTTTGTTTTTTATAAATAGTTCTATGAAACAGACATAGATAGTCACCGACCACCATATGAAAAAGTTAAAGAATCCGGCCGACTTCATATTCAGAAAAGTGACCATCAAGCAGCTCAGAAAGTCAGAGGGAAACTGGACTCACTAACAACACGGTTCACACGCCTAGAGGGCAATGTTGCAAATCATTCAGAATTCTTGCAAAAACTTTTGGTCAAGCTTGATAACCTGTATAGTGATGTTGCTAAGTTTGAGGACTGGATGGCACCTGTTATTGGTGTTCTTGAGTCACATGACCTAAATCACATGAGTCTATTGGATCTTGGATTGAAGCTCATGGTAAGCAAAAAACCTTAACTGTGTGTGTTTATTGTTTTGTTCTTTTATCAAAATAATTCAGTTGTACTATTAAATGAATATATATTTTATTATTGATTTGATTTATTCTTCTCCGACAGCAAATTACTTGGTTACAGGATGGAATCATCTATGTGATGGTTTATAGCTATTTATCTGTTAGACCCCTGTAAATATGTTTTGCCAAAAATTTAATGTGGCTGTTTGAAACATATCTAATCAACAAATTCCATGTCTTCTGGAAGTATGAAAATTGTCTACTCTATTATAGCAAGAATTATTTATTTATTTATTTATTACATATTCGGCACAAAAATCACAAATCAGAAAACGGCCAGAGGGGTGCCAAGAGGACACCACTGGCTGAGAGCCAAGCACAAGATGTGGGTATCCTCTAAACCCACAATCCAAATAAACATACAATAAATTACAAAACAGCACAGAAGCAAAAATGATACATCAGATTGAACTCAGGGACGTATCCAGGGGGGGGGGGGAGCCGTGGGAGACGCGGCTCCCCCCCTTTGTACACAGTGTTAAAAGTTTAAAGCTTATTTTTGAGCCAATACAAATTCTTTCCTGGGATCACTCAAAGTGAATACTTCTAAACATGTCAATATGCATCAGTACAAGTTATACATAGGCCTAATAGAACACATAGGCCTAAGCGTGATTTAAAAAAATCTTAAATCCATAAATCTCAGGCCAGGTCTTTAAGATAGAAATGCGATACTGTGGTTCAATTTCGTTTTTATCCTTTTGCAAGTTTCTTTAAATGTTTGTTTAATAATACTACTACTAATAGTAATAATAATAATAACAATGATGATGATGACGAT